TTCATCAACATCATGTGGGGGTGATGAAGATGCATTGTTAGGATAAGGATGATAGCGATGAAGAAAAAATTTTGATGATGATAATGATGAAAATGATGATGATAATATCAACGATGCAAGTTTTAATTGTGATAATGAATATAATGTGAGCGAGATGGATTGGAACGATGAAGATTTAAGGAACGGAAATACTGCAAATAACTATTTTGATGAAATTGCAATTGATGAGTTTTGCGATCCGGATCAAACAATTACAACAATAAGAATTACAACAATACGAATTACAACAATAAGAATTACAACAATATGAATAAAGAACAAGAAACAAGCGGATTAAGAAAAACAAACATTAAAACAACTACAATATTTGCATCCAAGCCTAAACATCTTACGAAAAAACACATATTCACAAACACACACACACGCTCACATACACACACTCACACACACAAACACGTACACACATTGCACACATATCCCGAAGACTGTCCATAGATCTACAGTTTATGCCCAACATTGTGACAAGTTAGCTATTGCTAACCATAAAGATATGCTTTCATTAAGGAAAAAATATATAAATGCATTTTATTGCCACACATAAAACACGGCATGCATGTATATAAATAAATAGATGCAGATGTATGAGTAGGGTATATATAAATGTTTTTATGTACATCACTGACGTATATATACAGTGTGCGTGTTTGTGTATGCATTTATACCAATATTTGCGTGTATGTGTGCACGTGTATTTATTCCATATATATTTGTACGTATCATACGTGTTTGTTCGTGTGCCTACATGTGTATGATTGTGTTACGTTATGTATGTATGTGTGTTTTCGTTTCTTCGTTCGTTCGTTCGTTCGTTCGTTTGTGCACGTGTATGTATGTATATGCGTATATATGAAGTGCGTATTCCAATTTATCTTTTATGATCTTTTGTTTTGTTTTATGGCCCGCCTTTAAATTTGATTTTTACGACTTTATTTGGAGCGTGAAATGCAAAATGGCAGCTGCAAAATGAAGAACCTACGCAGAGGTAGGGATATATTTTCATTTATTACCCGTGTTTGTTGGTTTGCGTCCATTTTTGCACACTGAGTTTATACATAAATATATGAGTATGTGGGTGTGTGTATATGTATATATATATATATATATATATATATATATATATATATGTATATTTACAATATTCTATAAATTCTACCGAATGTTTGGCGTTTGTATTAATATGTTTGTAGTTCGTTTTTTCGATTTTTCTCACTAAAGTTTTTGGGTGAACGTTTAGTTTATTAAAATTCAAAATAAACTTATTTTTCGAATTCATGCCGCAAATAAGGCCATATTTCGATTCCGAATGAATCATCATCAGTGCTCCTTGCTGTATATATAGGGAAATATTGACTTTGTTAAGATGAACTTTGACGTTGTAAAAATTAACTTTGGTGTTGTAAAATTGAACTTTAATAAACTAAACGTTCACCAAAAAAAAAACTTTAGTGAGAAAAATCGAATAAACGAACTACAAACATATTAACGCCAAACATTTGGTAGAATTTATAGAATATTGTAAAAATTATGGTCTATTACCAACATATATGCATATGTATATATATATATATATATATACATATATATGCAATTATTGATGAAAATCACAACTTGTTCCACGTTAGCTAACTTCCTGTTCAGTTTTTCAGATTTTCCAACCGTAGATCGTAGACCATTGTTAAGTTTCTTGAGTTCAGAATGAAAATTTAAGTAAGATAGATTAAAAAAAGCTTTTTTTTTGGTCTTTCTATACCGTCTTCGGTGTTCGAATTGATACGTTGTGTATGTGGCCGAATCTCAATGCTCATGCCCCTAGATGACGCAACACAATTAACATAATAATAAATAGAATATACAATTCCAGTTATTCACCACTACCAATTCTAATAAATGAATTGGAGGTTCTAGGAATGGGCTCTCCAATATAAATCGGCTTTAATTCTGGTTTCTCTTTAAATAACATCCCTTCGATATGTCCAACATAAAAGTTTGCGAAGAGTACTCCCAATGGAGAGCCCATTGCCACACCGTCTGTTTGCTGATGTGGTGTGATACTTGGGCCAATAAAGGGCGCTTTGGCTGTACACATAATTTCTACAAATAATGTATTTGTTTGACTCGTCCAGCATTTCATAGTTACTCTGGTTGCTCTTCAACGTCAAAACTGACGAAATAACTAAACAAATGCGTACAGATTCCAAATTGGAGAAATTTTTATGAGATTTTTCAATTTTATTCTGGGGTAACTTAGGTCATTTATTCACTGAATTATTTGTTTGGCAGAATGTAAGGGTTTTGTACTGCATCCTATCAACTTATGCCTACCTGTACTTATGCAGGTATGTACGATGTATGTAGTATATATTTTGATGAAATAGGTCACTGTCATTGTAGTTTTATTCAACTTATTGAAGTTTTTTATTCCCCTCTAATTTTCATAATTGAGACATACGTAGAAATAGATTTTGTGTAAAGAATAAACATTTTTTGTTTTTCTTTATTTTTAAAAAATCAACTCAGACAAACGCAGTTTCGTAGTCGCTGTTAACTTTCGTGCTGCAGAGACGACTGAACTGAACACAGCAAGACGAACGCACGCATTTGCTTCTAATATCTCCTCATCATAGGAACGAGGCCTATAACAGCTTTGCATTTTTGGGCAGCTTTTGTTGAGTTTCGACCAAGTCATCACACACCACACACACACACGCACACACCACACACACACTCAGGACGCATACACACACATACATACATATACGCGCACACGCATGCACACCCGTTTTTTTTTAATTATTTAAATAATTAAAAAAATTATGATCAAACTCAAAAAATAAAACAGCAAATTTCTTTATTTCAGCGACAAAGTTTAGTTTAAATTTTGTTGTACAATACAATTGTTCGCAAATATATTAAAGTTGAATAAATAATTATATGTTTGTATATACATGTATATGGTATTATGATTTGTCATATTATATATATATATATATATATATATATATATATATGGAGCACAGTCTAATCAATAAACCAGAAAATTCAACCAAAGAAATTGTTAAAAGTTTCAACATTACTACTTCGAATTATGATAAAATATATTATCACTGAAACAGTTGCTCAAAATATTTTGTCAGATCATTTTAATTGATTTTTGATCTTGTTGGCAGTAAAGCATGATTTATTTTATTACAGTGCAGCTTGCGATAGGTTACTATGTAGTCTAAGCACACACATAAGCGGCTTTGCTAAAGATATTAGTAACAATACTACTTTAATATCGATAGAGTATAACAAAAGTTTTAATTGTTATTAATTAGCTGTAGTCAGTCATTAACTCTGAAGAAACAATTTTAATATTATGATTTGTCAGTTCAACAAAATGAGTTGCAAAATAAAATGATTTTGATAGAAAATATGTTTAAGGATGTAATGAGTTAATGTGAATATGACGTTGTTTATCAGTGTTTTTATATAAGTATGTGTTTATGCGTGTATGTATGTATATACGTATGAATGTGTGTGTGTGTGTGTGTGTGCGTATGCGTGGGTGTGTGTATGCGTGTGTATGTGCGTGTGTGTATGCTAAAAATTATGTAATAAATAGACGCCGCGAATAAATGATCAATTATGTACAAAGCATTTTCATAATACAAAAACTGGTTTGTTTTTTGAACTGTTAAGTTGAAAATAATATTTTTTTCTTTTTTTAAGTTTTTAATTTTTTTTTTGTCTTTTAGTTAAAATTGCGGCATGCATGCAAACAATGATGAATTGGAAAGTATTCAAAATGATAAATAAAAAATTTGGTGCAAATGTCAAAATTAATAAATAAGTATTTGAGAAATTTGTGAAATGTTTTATCATGTAAAATTATCAATGACATTTTACAGGGACGATAGGTTATCAGATACGCAGAATAAAAATTTAAGTTGTTTTTTATTGTTTCCATGCTTGTCTGCGCCCGTGTATGTGTTTGTATGTGTGCTTGTGCGTGCGTTTGTGTGTGTGTGTGAGTGTTTGTTTGTGTGTGTGCCTTCAAAATTAAAAATATTGTAATCTCCATTTAAAACATCTTAGCGTGTTGTTTTAATTTTTGCATGCATGGATGTGATGTCAAAATGAAACAAAAAATATTTTGTTTTGATTGCCAGTAAAAGAAATGAATTAATAGGAACCAGAAAAAAATGATTGAAGTTGTTTAATTGCATTTCATGAAAGGCACACGCAGAAATATGAAATGGTATCGTCAGCATGTAACGAAAAAAAAACACAAAAAAATACAAATAAAAATGAAAAACAACTGTTGATCAATATGCAAAATGAGGCGGTCACAAACTTAAACATGCACAGATGATAAGAGAACGCAAAAATAAAATTTGCCTGTTATTTTTTTCCTTCCGTCATCCGTGTAAAATTGAAACTAAATATAATCCCTCGTTGAATGAATGTATAAATGACTGAACGAACGAACGAACGAACGAACAAATGAATGAATGAATATGAATGAATGAGTAAATGAATGAATGAATGAATGAATGAGTAAATGAATAAATTTTGTTTAATTGTCTGTGAATATATATGTATATTGCTATATACAATCTTTATGTACACACTCGCTCACAAAAAAGAATTAAAAAATATACAAAAAAATTTGTTTGTAGCCCATCAATTCAGCAAGAAATTTTTTCGTTTTTCAACTAAAATTATTGAAACCATTAAAAAAGATGAATATAGACATGATTGTTGTTGAACAATGGGTTGAATTAATTTCAATTTCAAAATTAAAATATAAAAAAGAACTAAAAAAGCTGATGTCATTTTCATTTGAAAATATTTCATAGAAACGTCTCTCCGTGAACTTTAAGCATTTACATTGTATGTTATTATTTAAAACGTGTTCAACTCAATGTTTTTTTTCAAGAGTTTAAAACAATTTGATTCTAAATAAATAATACAATCGTTTTTTTTCAAATTTCACCGTTTAACATATCCTATCAAAATCATTAAACCATGATAACTGCCATTATTCACGTAAATTAAATCGTTTTATCAATTAAATGCGAAAAACATTTAACTATTCAAAATCTGAAAAATTAGCAAACATTATTAACAACGAATTAGTTGTCGAAAACAACGAAACAAGAACAGTAGCAAGCATAATCTCAACAGTTTATTGAATTTTCTTTACAACTGGATGCATGTTAATCTTGTTATATTAAGTTGAATATATATTTATCTCAAAAAACATGGTATGTCATATTTCTGGGATGGTTTGTAGAAAGCAATAATTCCCAACATATATTGTTGTATGACTTTCTTCGTTAGTCGTACTCTCACAATCTTAAATTTTTCCATCATCACCACAATTAACATCATCATCATCTTCATCATTGCAATCATCCTCGTTATCATCATCATCATCATCGTTACTCCACGATAGCAATGTTGTAAGGGTTGGAGATGGGACGAAATTTGACCTGAACGTCTTTGACGGGTGGAAGAATTTCATGGCCGTGGTATCTAGGTGTTGGTGTGTTGGTGTCTTCATCATTATCGTCGTCATTTTCATCACCATCATTGTCACCACCCTCACCAACAACATCAACAAAAAAACTACCTGCTATCAATTTCAGCCACCTCTCCAGGCATCATCTGGAAGTTGAATCTCGAGATGACAGACATGGCGTACACTTTGGTTTGCAGGATGGCAAACTTCTTACCGGGGCACAAACTTCCAAAGGGCATGACCGCGTTCGAAAGGGGTGAGCCATCCGACGAGACATTGTTTCCCTTTAAGAAACGATCGTACTTGAATGTCTGCAAGGTTAGAATAATATTCGTTAATGTACATTATTATAATGATTGACATCAGTTTAAAGTAAATTGACAACCAGCAATGACAACTTCAACAGTAAAAAATTAAAAGAATCAAATTTTGTTACTGAAGGATCATCAAAGAGTTCTGGGTCCTTATGGATGGCAGGTGGATAGATGGCCACCTTATCTCCAGCTCGGATGGAATAAGTCTTGCCATCGCACGATTTGAAGTCCGTGTCCTGTACGACGTATCGAACCATGAAGACACCACTCGCCATGCGGAAACTTTCATCAACTATGCTATCTGCGTTCATTGTTCAAGCAGAGTGCTTTTTCAGATTGGTAACAAAAATTCTTATTTGCCGCGGGTGTAAAATAATTTTGCGTTTTAGTGGTCAGCAAAATGATCATTAATTTAAATTGGCTGCGTTAAACTTACTAAGAACTTCCATGTTGTCGATATCTTTAATGCTCAATTTGACGGTTTTCGATTCCGGGTCATATTTCGATTCGAATAGTTGGGTCATCTCGTCCTGCAGCGCCTGCCTGGCGTCGTCATTGGTGATGATGTAGTAGAGGATCCAGAAGGAAATGCGAAACGTGTTGTAATTGACGTGCAGGAAAACCAAATTGTGTCCTGTTTTTGTATTTATTTACGTGTGTCAGTGTGCTATTGTGGTGCATGTTCGTAAGATATGTTCGTACGATTATTTGCTAATGAACATATGTACGCAGGTTTCCACATAAATGCATATCTATGCATTAATTCATCCTCATCCTCATTTCAATCCATTACAATTTACTTTTATTTGTTAACAGTTTTAACATTTTGTTGGCTGAAAATTAAAAATTGAGTAATTTTCAATTTGAACTGAATTTTTATCGTATAGTTTCGTTATATTTATATAAATAACTATATATAGTTTTGTTCAATTGGTAAGAAAGTTAGACAACATTATTCAAATAATGAAACGCTGTAAAATAACAAACGGACCCTTAATATCTCCATCAGTTTGTCCACTGTTCCTCATGTGGTAGATGGCGTTCCTGACGTAAGGTGAAAGATCATCCCTCTGCAACAACTCGTCAGCTTCAGGAAATGTCAGCAGTTGCTCCAGTGCGGACACTGCTTCGGGGAAAAATATTTTCGGGAGACCAAGCCAGAAGTAATTGAAATATTTATGGAAGACGTCAAAATGTGAAAAAGCTTTTTTGTAACTGAACACGTTGTCGTCACTAAACCCAAAGATGGTGTTGAAGATTGCAGAGAACATGGTGTTGCAGGCGAAAATGCGAAGACCTGTTTGTGAAAGATGCGAAGACGTATAAATTGTTAAATAAGCAAATGAAAAACAAGAATTGTGCATAAAAATTAAAAAAAATTAAATTAAAAATTTGTTGAAAATGACAAGATATGTGTGCATTGGCGAACCAACCTGACTGGAACCACTCCTGGCTGTCATCAGCAATCAGCTTCTCTTTGAGGTCAGCATTCACTCGCATCATTTTGCTGTTTACATTTGAAAAAGGACATTTCCTATTCAAATAATTTTTAGCGTCCAAACCAACGTGATACTGCTCCAAACGTTTATCAATCTTTGACCCATCCATAATACTTTTAAGATCCAGCCCAACATCTTCGTTACCGTTTTGAATTATTCCAGTGTTGGTATGAATTTTTTCACTTTTAATATTTCCATTCATTATCTTTTCGTTGCCGACAGCGTTCATATTTTTTTCATTCAAAGTGACCACTTTTTCGAAAGCGATGTTGAGGTTGGCCAGGAAAGTAGTGAGGTTTCCAAGCAAGGACTTGCCCTTCACCCACTTTCCCGTCTCCTTCATCATCTTACGAGGATCTTTCAAGATAAAGTGAAACACATTCCAGTTAACCTGTTGTTGAACAAATTTGCAATACAAAATCAACTAATAAAAACACGTTTGCAACGTTCATAAAAGCAAAGCTAACTGCAACAACTTCAATCCCGACAACATAACATAGAGAGGTCTCCAACACAAACAAAACAAATCACCTGCTTCTGGATTGGATCAAAATCAAAATTTCTCTCCTTGCCCAAGTTTTCATAATCATTGTGATCCATGAGGAGTGTCATGTGCGTGTTCAACAGTCGGATGGTGAAGACGTTACCGAATCTTTTTTTGCAGTCCAGTAAGTAGGAAACTGCATCTTTTGCAAACTCTGCCCCGTTGCCCCAAATCAGGTGGCCCGGTACAAGAGGGGGTTCTCCTGGGTTCCTGGGACAATGTGAGGAACGGTGGGGATTGTTTGAGTGGCAATGAAAGGAACTATGTGAATTTGTGCAGCGGTTGTGAAAAAAATGTTGAAGTAATGATGAGAAAACAACCAACATTGTTAGGCCTTACATTGCCTATATAATCCCATCTCGTGTTGAAAATGAAAGTTGATGACGTCAATACGTATCAATCATCATGAGGATTATAGTATCAAAAATATTTTCAACTGGATGTGTCATTTGTTAACAAATTATCAAGTTCCCACCTTCGAACTTCGAACTTGTTTAATGTCTTGCGCAAGCAGACATTAAACAAACACCACATTGAGATTGTGGACGGCAGAAGAGACATTTCATTGAAAATAAAATAAATGTTAAATAAACGACAAGTAGATCGAGCCAGTAGACAGGCATATATCGATCGAATTTCAGCAAAATCTGTCAGGAACCCACGACGATCTGAAGCGACTCCCCGCGGAGACACCCATGAGCGCATCGTCGTCGTCATCATCGTCGTCGTCGTCGTCACATCATTGTTGATTTATGATAACGTGAAATGAACACTTAACAGCTATCACCTACTTACGTCAGCGCATGAACGAGAATGCGCAAAAGTACGCAGATCTTTAAACATGCATACACGGACATACATTTTCTACGTATTTTAAAACTGCTAATGGCAAGGTGCATTATAAAACCGGCCCTCGCATAGGCACACGCACATACAAAGCCTGCCAACGAACATTGTTAAGAGCATTTGTCTTTCCTCATACTTCACTGCTCTAATTTCTCGTGTTTATTCAGCTGTTATTTTATAGACGACGTGTTTCTGCAGCAAGATGTCATAACGTCGCAGATACTCGCCTCTCCATCCCAGTTCGTCATGCTACCTAATTTATGTCAGTTTCAGAACTGTTTGTTACTTCCATGAAAACAAGTTGGTATCGGTGATAAAGTGGAATAAAGGAAGGTTTCAGAGGCTTAAAGAAATAAATTATTGTCAGCGTGTGACTTCGTAGAAATTCTATTTACTCTTATTTATGATTTAATTGTTTAATTTTCTCTGCTTGCTTCGACTGAGTTGAAAATTGAAATGTTCACATGAAAATGATGGCTTTATTGGGGCTATAAAAATTAACGCCACATACGGAACGAAAATTTTGAATAAAAAGAAAAGAAACATTGCTGTGCATGCAGCTGAACATGTGTGTCAGTCGGTGTCATGCGTGCGTGTGCGTGCGTGTGTGTGAACAAGTCTGCTAGCTGCATAGAATAGGAACAAAACAAACAAGCATAAGAACAAATGTGAAAAAATATCTAAAACATTGTGAAATAAGAAATAAACAAGGAGAAATGAGTTGAAATGATGAAAATGACATAGTGCGATCAAGAGGATTAGAGAAAAGAGGATATAGAGAAACATATTTTTTGAATGTGCGCGTGTCTGTACATGTGTGTGTGTGTTTCTGTGCGTGCGTGTGTATGTGCGTTCGTGCGTGTGTGTCTGTGTTTGTTCATGTACACGCGCAGAAATGTGCCGTGAGTAGCAATAAATTCAAGAAATGCATTAAAATTTTATTGTTTATTGAGTTTGGATGTTGCATTTTATGTCTGCCATACATCATGCATATCACACCAGGATGCCCACTGCATGCTAGTAGTAGTTGTCGTAGTAGTAGTAGTAGTAGGTAGTAGTAGTAGTAGTAGTAGTAGTAGTAGTAGTAGTAGTAGTAGTAGTACAGTTGATTTCAAAGTTGTATATTATAACTTGGAGGTGAAATTTTAAGCAGTAAAATATTCTTGTTAAACAAACTTTAATTTTACAAATATCTAATGTACATTTTAATTATTTAACTAATCAATTAATTAATTAACATTAATTAGTTAATTAATTGATTAATTATAAATGAAAAGAGTAATAAATATTATTGCTACTTTTTAAGCAGACGTTAAATGCTGCCTACAAACGTCACACATGACATGATAGAGAGAGAGAGAGAGAGGGAGAGAGCACATTCACAACTCGATGAACATGTTAACAATTGAAAGGTCTTGTCAATCATTGGCCATCAACTTTTCTCACACACGATCACACTCATAAACACACATACACAAACAACACGCACACATACACACACATACATACACACCTACACACACTTCTATATACACAATTATACAAAGATAATGATTATCTATATATATATATATATATATATATATGTGTGTGTGTGTGTGTGTGTGTGTGTGTGTGTGTGTATGTGGTCTGGTGTGTATATGTGTGTGTGTAGTGTGTGTGTGTGGTGTGTGTATGTGTGTGGATATAAAACACACACATATCCACACCCACTTACATTCATACAAACATGCATACACACACACATACACCAACAAACAAGCATTTAAATAAAAACTAATGCAAAAACACGAAACCTCATTTTTTAAACACACGTAAATATTAATTAATATTCTCAAATACATAAACATAATAATTAACATAATATATGTAATATATTTGGCTTCGAAATTTTGAATTAATTTATCCACAAACGTTTATGATAATGAAATTGTTGTTAAAAATTAACTGAACAATCGCATATTGTAGTTGAGACTTATTTTTGAAAGAAATATTTACAAAATATATTAATCTAATCTATCAAACAAATGTCTGTGCGTGTGCGTGTGCGTGCGCGCGTGTGTGTATGTTTGTGGGTAACAATTGAATGAATGAACAGAGGATGAACGGAAGAACGTGTGAATGTGCGTCGCAGTGTTACGCATAGGAATTGATTCTGAGAATTAAACCGCTTGCGGTTAAAAATTCGGTTAAATATACATAATCGGACACACGCAAAAACAAGCCGACAAACTCACACACAAACACACACACACACGTACATACACACACGCAAAAAACAAGTCTACACACACACACACACACACAAACACACACATACGCACATTTATTTTATATAAATGTACCATTTTGACGTGTTGATGTCAAGTTGTGGACGATAATGATGATGTTTAATGATGATGATGCTAATGAGGATGATAATGATGGTGATATATACATATCACCATAATCATGATTATCATGACGCGTTTTGTAAAAGACATCACCGTTGGGATGTGTGAACGTTATGAATGTGATTAAAGTGTGATTAATGTGATGATGATGATCATCATCATTATTATCCTCCTCATCATCATCATCACCATCACCACCGCCATTATCATCATCACCATCTCCATCATCACCGTCCCGTCACATAATGTTTGCGACCACAATTCTCATCCTTTTCTTCATCATCATCATCATCATCATCATCATCATCATCATCATCATCACGAGAACCTTGTCAAAAACTATTGTCATATGCTTCAATTGATTTATAAGCAGGATTGTGTCAATGCGTAAATGATGATGATGATGATGATACTCTTGGTGGTGATGATGATGATGATGATAATAAAAATAATAAGTATAATAATAATTATAATTACATTAATAATAACAACAATGTTAATAATGATGATAACAATAAAATGATATCAATTGCAGTAGGAGTTAAAATGATAATGATGATGATGATGATGGTAATGATGATGACGAAGATGACAAATCAGATTGCATCAATAAAAACTGGAACGAGTGAATGATGACATGCGTGAATAAATTTGTGTGAACGTACACTGTTTGTACACACACACATACGCACGCAGGCACACTCACACACAAACACAACACACACACACACACACACACACACGAATGTGTTTATAGTTTATTATTATAAAGGCACTACTCGTATGCCTGTTTATTACATTGTTTAGGATTATGTATAATACGAATGTTTGTTATATACCTGCTTGTTTAATAAACTTGTTTCTAACCGTTTATTTATTTTGTAAGTTTTTTTTTTTGTAAAAAATATTTAATCTTTACACAAAAATGTATCTATTAAATGTTTACATGTTTGGTTGCTTATATTGTTTATTGTTTGTAAGTTGAAATGTTTATATGCGAATAAATTTTTATTAACTTATATGTTCAAAAAGATATGTATATGTTTGTATTTGTTATATATTTATGTGTTTACATACTCAAATCTTAACGTATAATATGCTCATACGTTTTGTATGCTTATACATTCGTATGATATGTGTATGTATATAATAAAGTTGATACAACAATATGCTTATACTCTCGCATGTTGAAATGTTAACATTTAGCAACACGTTGAAATGTTAACACCCACGTGTACACAAATGCACAGCAACAGAACGAACACACAAACACACGAACAAACAAACATACAAACACACGAACACACGAACAAACAAACACACAAACACACGAACAAACAAAAACACAAACAAACAAACAAACCACAAGACTGAACGGCGCACAAAGGGCCGCGTCAAATTGAGGTGTATGACTTGATTTAAAACACTGTTACAACGTTAATGACGGGCGTGCTTGCGATAGGAAAATCCATAATTAAGAAGTTTATTAATAATTTTTTAGTTTATGTTCGTTTTTTTTATTAATTTCATTTTTAGATTCTTCAAAGAGAGTTATTTATTAATAATTCTTTCTTGGTGTTAATTCTTTTTGACTAAGCTAGATATGGCGCGGTTCGTATCTGGAGGTCATTATTTTATTAATCGAAATTTTAATTAATTTTTTGCTGGTTGAATTGAGCTGAAACGTATGTTCAATTATATTCTGATTCTATGTAGTTGAAGACTAAATTTTAATAGAAGAATATGTAAAGAAATAATTATTTAATCATTTCAGAACAAATTTAAAATAAAAAAATTTAATCAAATAGTATTTTATGAAATTTATGAAAATAAAATTCGGACACATCAAAAATGAAATTTTGTTATTGCTAATCAATTAATCTATCAATAATTTACTTGAATGATTAGCTGGTCATAACTTACTATAAATTATAAAAAATTATTAATAATTAAATAAATAAGAATTTCAACTAAATGAAATCAACCCCGTATGCGTGAGTTGTGGTGGGAGTTGCAGATGTAAAACTGAAACGAAATGCTCTGCGGAAGAACGCTAAGTAATTTTGAATAAATATATCCACCATCGTCTGTCCGTCCGTCCGTCTACTGCCTACTCTGCATTGATCGAATGCTTTAAACACACATCCGCAAAGGCATATTTATCAAAAACTGTTTTAAGAAAGGTTGAGTGATGAATTGAAAGTGAAAAAGAGGGATAGAGAAACAACGGAATACTTTCGAGAGAGGAATGATTCAATGTTTAAAAACAACAAATTGAATGAATAATTTGATGAATTTAAATGAGATTAAAAAAGTGATAAA